GAGTGATATGATTCATGGTCACCTGGTTGAGATAGGGTGCTTTTCTTAAGGGGACATTCAGAGGTGCCCATTCCTGCTGGTCTGTTTGCCTGTGGCTGAACGGAAATGTTCCCCGCTGTTACACGGGACAGGGGGAAGAGGGGGAGGGGCTAGCCACGTGGTGGGGGGAGGCAAAATACAACCTTGGAACGAAAGCACATGTGCTATGTATGTAATGTTAACAGCAAGGTTTACTGTGAAAGAATGTACCCATTGTTCTATAAAATGTGTCTTTTTAAATACCACTGTCCCTTTTTTTTTCTTCACCAGCTGCATGTGTTTGAAGGATCACAGGGTCTTCTCCTTCCCAGAGGCTAGTGAAGATTAGAAGGTGAAAAAAACGCACTTGTGATGAAATGTTCTCTGAGCTCATGCTGTCCTCCCACACTGACAGAGCACAGACAAATGCGTGGAGGCAGACAATGTCAGAGTGCAGGAAAGCACAAAATGACTGGGAGGAGAAGTGTCGGGCTGAAGAGAGTAAGTGGCAGGCTGAAGAGAGGGCGGAAGCTGAAAGGTGGCGGCAGTGTGATGAGAGGAGGCAGGACTCAATGCTGAGGCTGCTGGAGGATCAAACTAATACGCTCCAGCGTATGGTTGAGCTGCCGGAAAGGCAGCTGGAGCACAGACCGCCGCTACAGCCCCTGTGTAACCAACTGCCCTCCTCCCCAAGTTCCATAGCCTCCACACCCAGACGCCCAAGAACGCGGTGGGGGGGCCTCCTGGCCACCCAGCCACTCCACCCCAGAGGATTGCCCAAGCAACAGAAGGCTGGCATTCAATAAGTTTTAAAGTTTTAAACTTTTAAAGTGCTGTGTGGCCTTGTCCTTCCCTCCTCCACCACCCTTCCTGGGCTACCTTGGTAGTTATCCCCCTATTTGTGTGATGAATGAATAAAGAATGCATGAACGTGAAGCAACAATGACTTTATTGCCTCTGCAAGCGCTGATCAAAGGGAGGAGGGGAGGGTGGTTAGCTTACAGGGAAGTAGAGTGAACCAAGGGGCGGGGGGTTTCATCAAGGAGAAACAAACAGAACTTTCACATCGTAGCCTGGCCAGTCATGAAACTGGTTTTCAAAGCTTCCCTTATGCGCACCGCACCCTCCTGTGCTCTTCTAACCACCCTGGTGTCTGGCTGTGCATAACCAGCAGCCAGGCGATTTGCCTCAACCTCCCATCCCGCCATAAACCTCTCCCCCTTACTCTCACAGATATTGTGGAATACACAGCAAGCAGTAATAACAGTGGGAATATTGGTTTTGCTGAGGTCTAAGTGAGTCAGTAAACTGCGCCAGCGCGCGTTTAAATGTCCAAATGCACATTCTACTACCATTCTGCACTTGCTCAGCCTGTAGTCGAACAGCTCCTGACTACTGTCCAGGCTGCCTGTGTACGGCTTCATGAGCCATGGCATTAAGGGGTAGGCTGGGTCCCCAAGGATAACTATAGGCATTTCAACATCCCCAACGGTTATTTTCTGGTCTGGGAAGAAAGTCCCTTCCTGCAGCTTTTGAAACAGACCAGAGTTCCTGAAGATGCGACCGTCATGTACCTTTCCCGGCCATCCCAAGTTGATGTTGGTGAAACGTCCCTTGTGATCCACCAGAGCTTGCAGCACTATCGAAAAGTACCCCTTGCAGTTTATGTACTCGCCGGCTTGGTGCTCCGGTGCCAAGATAGGGATATGGGTTCTGTCTTTGGCCCCACCATACTTAGGGAATCCCATTGCAGCAAAGCCATCCACTATGACCTGCACATTTCCCAGGGTCACTACCCTTGATATCAGCAGATCTTTGATTGCGTGGGCTACTTGCATCACAGCAGCCCCCACAGTAGATTTGCCCACTCCAAATTGATTCCCGACTGACCGGTAGCTGTCTGGCATTGCAAGGTTCCACAGCACTATTGCCACTCGCTTCTCAACTGTGAGGGCTGCTCTCATCTTGGTATTCATGCGCCTCAGGGCAGGAGAAAGCAAGTCACAAAGTTCCATGGAAGTGCCCTTACGCTTGCAAAAGTTTTGCAGCCACTGGGAATCGTCCCAGACCTGCAACACTATGCGGTCCCACCAGTCTGTCCTTGTTTCCTGAGCCCAGAATCAGCGTTCCACCACATGAACCTGCCCCATTAGCACCATGATGCCCACATTGCCAGGGCCCGTGCTTTGAGAGAAGTCTGTGTCCATGTCCTCATCACTCACGTCACCACGCTGACGTCGCCTACTAGCCCGGTATCACTTTGCCAGGTTCTGGTGCTGCATATACTGCAGGATAATGTGCGTGGTGTTTAATGTGCTCCTAATTGCCAAAGTGATCTGAGCGGGCTCCAAGCTTGCCGTGGTATGGCGTCTGCACAGAAAAAAAGGCGCGGAACGATTGTCTGCCGCTGCTCTGACAGGAGGGAGGGGTGACCGATGACACAGCTTACAGGGTTGGCTTACAGGGAATTAAAATCAACGAAGGGGGTGGCTTTACATCAAGGAGAAACAAAAACAACTGTCACACAGAATGGCCCCCTCAAGGGTACTCAAAACCCTGGGTTTAGCAGGCCAATGCTCAACCCACTAAGCTATCCCTCCCTCTGGTATTTCAAGCAGGGCTTCACAGAGGGAAGGAGGGAGGGGGGAGCAAATGAATACAAAACAAATCTGGTCTATTTCTTGTTTTGATCCACTCCATCTATCTTTTACATCTTTGGCTGGCAGCAGACGGTGCAGAAGGACTGCAAGCCATCCACATCTCCTAGCTGCTCAGCAGAAGATGGTGCAATAGGACTGCTAGCCATCCACATCTCCTGCCTGCTCACCATAAGATGGTACAATAGGACTGCCTGCAGGACTAAAGAGAATGGCCTGGTCGAGTCACTCCTAATTTAGTCCCTGCACCCATATCTGCCCAGGCGCTCCTAACCGACCTTACCGAGGCGGCCAGGAGCACCTCGGACATGATGAGGATGGTTTTCAGGCTACCAGTCCTATTGCACCGTCTGCTGCCACAAGGCAATGGGTTGCTGCTGCTGTGTAGCAATGCAATACCACGTATGCCAGCACCCAGGAGACATACGGTGACAGTGAGCTGAGCGGGCTCCATGCTTGCCGTGGTATGGCGTCTCCACAGGTAACTCAGGAAAAAAGGCGCGAAACGATTGTCTGCCGTTGCTTTCACAAAAGGGAGGGCCTGATGACACGTACCCAGAACCACCCGTGACAATGTTTTTTGCCCCATCAAGCATTGGAATCTCAACCCAGAATTCCAATGGGCAGCGGAGACTGCAGGAACTGTGGGATAGCTACCCACAGTGCAACACTCCGTAAGTCGACGCTAGCCTCGGTACTGTGGAAGCACTCCGCCAAGTTAACGCACTTAATGCACTTAGAGCATTTTGTGTGGGGACACACACGATCGACTATATAAAAACAATTTCTAAAAAACCGACTTCTATAAATTCAACCTAATTTCGTAGTGTAGACATACCCTGATTCTAAGGGACAAAATTCTAGGTGTGGAATAAAATTCTGCCTCCTTAAGCTCGTGTTTTCCATGCCTAGAATTCAACTGTCACCAGCTGGATCAGACTGAACAAGTTTCAAACTTTGAGGAGGCTCTTACCTTCTAAACAGGGACGTCTTTTTTCTACTCAAATCAGTAAAAGGAAAGGAGAAAACTCGAAAGAGGTTCCTCCTCGCGCTCACGTACGTGAACCCTAATACTCTCTCAGTCCTCAAAGAGAGACCTCAAGAAGGAGACTTGCTGAAGCAAAGCCACACGCGTCACCGAGGTTTCCCTGGCCCCTCACCCCTGTCCTGCCTGGCTGATGTCAGCATCTCTCTGTGAGGTCACCACCTCCCCACCACCTTGAACCAATAGTCTGAGGTCCTGCAAAAGGCCTTTGTGATGTCACTGCCATACCCCTCCCTTGCTGTGCTAATGTCCTACCGCTGGCCAGGCACTTTGGAGGTTTGAGCTACTCCCTGCGGATCTCCCCACTCAATGAGTGTTCATTCTCGGAAGCAAGCCGGCTACACCGTAAAACATCAGACGCTGCTCCCAGTGCTCCACTCAGTTTTTCAGAAATGAGGAGACTTTGTGGCCAGAAGAGACCATTAGACCATCTAATCTGACCTCCTGCATGTCACAGGCCGCCAGTATGACACAATAGCTACTTTTGGGGCAAACACATTCTAGAATCTGTAACTGTATAGATCACTGTTGCAACCACTGTTATATATTTGCAGCCACTATTGTAGAAAGGTTGTCGTGTAAGGGGTCTGTGGAGAGATTATGATTGGCTGAAACCTTGAAAACATGAAACCAGTGCACCCTAACAGCTCAGAAACCTAAAGCACGTAAAAACCTCCAACTTCCCTTTTTTTAGAACAGTCTCATGAGTTTTAACCATTTGGGGCTCGCAAACTGTTTAGCTAACATGTACTCCTCAGGCAGGTTAGTCACAGCACAGCTCAGGTTCACCAGCAGGAGAGAGAGGCACAATAACTCCTATTCACTTTGGGGTTTGATAGTGAGCCGAAATGTCAGGTAACCAGACTCAACAGATTTACTGATTGGAAATGAAGTCAGTAGAATTGTGACTTTAACCACGGTTCCATCCAGAATGTTGAACAGCTGTATCCCATCTGGTCTCCAACCAGGGGTGCCTTTTACACTGCTTAGCTGTGAAAGCAACCACTCCTGGTTTGCTCTCTCAGCCTCCAGCATGTAAATTACTCCCAGCAACACTGTATGAGGCCTATAGCCAGTGACTCCTGAATTACACTGCAGAGCAACACTAGCCAATTCCTAGTTCCAGACCTTCCCCCCAGAAATGTAATGCATGGTCCTGTCCAGTCTTCTTCTGGACAATACAAGCTCATATAAACTCCATCATTTTATTAACAGAAAATGCTAGGCACAAATCCTGGTCTCAAATAAAGTTTCTCAAACCCTTCAATCCAAACACACTGTTTTAGATGAAACAATAAACCAAGTTTATTAGCGACAGAAAAAAGATTATACGTGATTACAAGAAATGAGGCATAAAAGTCAGGACTGGTTATAAAATAAAAGGTAAAACACAACTAATATCTAACGTAACTAGCTAAATGGATTCAAAACAAAAGTCTCTCTCACCACCTATTGTATTAGTTTTATTGGCGGGAATCCTTTCAGCTTGGGACCCTCCTCAAGTGAGGTGTTACTTTCTTTGTCTTTCAGGTGTCAATGATGCCATGAGCAGAGAGAAAGAGAGGACTATTTGCGGGCACCTCTTCCCCTTTCTTATAGTTCATTCTCTTGTGAAAGAATCATCCCCAGCCGAATTTTAGGAGACATACGGTCTGTCTAGACGGAAACCTTAAGCTGTTCCTTTGTTAAAATGCAGATTTCTCACTCACACCCTTTCCCCTAGCCAAATAACAGCCACTTAACCAGGTGAAAGTCCATTCGATTTAGCTGATATTTGGCTGAGAGGTCAGTCTGCCTTTTTGTCTCTGAAGAACAGGTCTGTGGGTTTTCTCCAGAACTATGACATGTCTAAGTAACATCATACAGTAGAACCATAACTTTACATAGAATGTTGCCTCCCATATTTTCACAAGACAATAATGTTCAGCACATTATGAATTTTAAAATAATACCTCATAAGGCATACTTTGTACAAAATTGATCATTATCCTGGTAAGGGGTGAACACAGAGGAACAGACTGTCACAGTAATACAGAAAGGTAAGTATGTACCCACTTTGGAGAAATGTTATGCAGCGGATACCTCTTCACTCTGTTCTAAACTATGAGCTCAGTTTTGCTCATATTTGTATTCTCCTCATTTACAAGACAGAAAAGTCCAGATTCTGCAGACCTTACACACCTTTTCTTATCTAATTATGCACACAGCAGTTTAGCTAGTAGTAGGCCATAGCACACAAGTAGCATAAAACCATAGAAATATTTGCATCAACTGTACCTCGCACACAGTTCATATTTGGCAAACCTTAACAGAGCATACATCTTGTGTCTGACAGATGTCGCATACACAATGAACAAAGGTTAGAACAACTGAACTACTAGTAAATTTGTACAATAAAGCTTAGCATGAGCACAGAGTTTTCTGGATGATTTTAACTTGTTCAGAGTTCTTACACCCCCATTTCTTTAGTAGAAATAATGGTTAAAAGGAGATTACAACTGAGCTGAACTGCAGCTGGCATAACCAGCTCCAGAAAGAAAGGCAGGATGGATGCTTCTCCCCAACATCATCTCCCAAGAGTGACTGGAACATAACAAAGTCAGCACTGCAGGGAAGATTGCAGATCTTCACTTACATGGCAGTGCAGCCATTTCAGGCTCGTATTTCTCTTGTATTATTTTACTCCCTCCAGGAACGACGAGACAACAGTGACATAAAGTCCCATCTCATCATCGCCTTCCGACAGAGAAGAATGGCCACAAATTACCTCAGCTTGAGGAACGGGGAGACAATAGCCCGGTACTGCTGCTCAGTTTGAACTGTGGATGTTGCTGAGATTAGTTTCTCTCCCTCTCTATTTAGGATTCCCTCTCCTGAAACCATGCTCTCTGGGCTGCCTGTTCCCATGCAGGATCCCACCTCTGCCCTTGCCCCATGACCCCTGGGTATTTCATATCCATGTCACACTCTGGGCTGGGACTGCAACTCCACAAGTTGTTTACAGAAAACACAGACAACAAGCAGCAAACCCGAGTCCCAGCCTGCAAAGCAGAGCAAAGTTACCCAGAGAGATTTTCCTGCACTCCTTGCCACTTGGTGTCAAGGCTGAGATCCAGGTACATGTCAGGGCTTGTCTACACTACCGCGCAGGGTCGATCTAAGATACCACAACTTCAACGATGTGAATAGTGTAGCCGAAGTCGACGTACTTAGATCTACTTACCGCAGTGAAGACACTGCGGTAAGTCTATAGCTGACGCCCTCCCATCAACTGCGCTTGTTCTCCTCGTTCTGGTGGAGTACTGATGTTGACTCCCACTGGATCGATTGCTGCCCACCGATACAGCAGGTAGTGTAGACAAGCCCTAAGCGTTAGGGCTAATGTACACTAGAAGTGCAACAGCTCCCGCTAGTGTTCAAGACACCAAGCTATCATTCAAGACGCTCTAATCCAATGGGAGAGAGCTTGCCTGTCAGCATAACACCTCCACCTCTATGACAGGCGATGGCTATGTTGGCAGGGAAGCTCTCCCATCAACATAGCTCAGTTTACACCAGTGCTTAGGATAGTATATTTTACATCACGCAGGGATGTGGATGAGTGTTCTGGTAAGTGATAAGTTCTAGTGGAGACAAGCCCTAGGTGGCATTAAAGTGCCACAAACTCATCCAGGAACACAAATTTGAGTTATTAAAAAAAAAAAAGCCATTATAATAGGAAGTAACTGACATCTCTCATCCCTGCCCTTGCCTTTTTTTCTGGTGGATGACTTCTGATGGCACAATGAATCAGATGATGGGTAAGTGATGTAGTCAACGCTGATCACGACAGCAGCATCCATAGATGTCAAGCATTTGCATGTACCATCAAGATGACAAAGAAGGCAGGCCATAACCAAATGGCATGCTGTTTGTTGATCCGGAAACTCTGATTTCCAACCTTCCAGTCCTAGCTGGTATTGCTTGCCAGGCAATTAGGTGTGAAGACAGGGCCCTGGCTGCATTCTGCATGAAGCCAACTATCAGGACACCTTGCTTCATAATTTTCTCTCAAAGCCAAATCAAAACAACCTTCCTTTTGATTCAGTACTATGAGGGGCACACAGGGGATGTCACAACCTTTCATTAACTGCGGAGATGAAAGCTCCTTTTCAGTCTCTGCCAGAATCTTTACCCATTATTCCTTTTTCCAAACAGAAAAATCCCAGAAGAAATAAAACAATTACTTCAATTTGTGGAGCCTGAGAGGATGGGAGCCGCAGTGAACAAATGGCTTGGGATAAACCAGGGCCTCCAAAGTGCAGTCTTGGCTCCAGTCATCTCTCTCTTAGCTGCAGCCCATAATGCCCACAATGCAATGTTTCAGTACCTCTTGGCTTAAATGCTCCCATCTCCAGGACCATACAAATTATTTTAACAAACCCAGCACCTAAACTCGTGTCTACTTAGTGAAGCGGTGGGAACATTTCAGAGTGGGAGTAAGTTCTCCCTCTTTTACAGGCTTTGGGAACAGGGTGAAGTGAGAGATTGAAGAGGTTCCCTCCATTGAACACAAGGGTCAGGAGCCTCTATCATGAGTGGGTGCTCTGGTGTTTAGTAAGATATGATGAACGAGCAAAGCGCTTCCCACACTGAGTGCAGGAATATGGTCGCTCTCCTGGGTGGGTTCTCTGATGCTGAGTAAGAGATGATGAGCGAGCAAAGTGCTTCCCACACTGAATGCAGGAATATGGTCGCTCTCCTGAATGGATTTTCAGATGCTCAGTGAGAGATGATGAGTGAGCAAAGCGCTTCCCACACTGCGTGCAGGGATAGGGTCGCTCTCCTGAATGGATTCTCAGGTGGTTGGTGAGGCCAGACAATTGGGTGAAACTTTTCCCGCACTCAGTGCAACAATAGGGTTTCTCTCCAGTGTGGATTCTCTGGTGGCTCTTGAGATGATGTATATAGACAAAGCCTTTTCCACACTCAGTGCAGCGATGGAGTTTCCCAGTGTGGACTCCCTGGTGTCGAGAGAGATTTTCTGGATGACGGAATATTTTCCCACACTCAGCACAGCGATGGAGCCTCCCCGTAATATGGGTTTCCTGGTGTCTCCTGAGACTTTGAAGGAGACTGAATTTTTTCCCACACTCAGCACAGCAATAGGGCTGCTCCCCAGTGTGGATTCTCTGATGTCTGATCAGATGTTCTCGTAGACAAAAATTTTTCCCACACTCATGACACAAGAAGGGTCTCTCTTCGCTGTGGATTTTCAGGTGTCTAGTAAGACTTGATATAACTTTGAAGCCTTTCCCACACTGGCTACAGCGATGGGGTCTCTTTTCTGAGTGGATTGCCTGATGATTACGAAATGTTGATGAATCCATAAATCGCTTTCCACACTCAGCGCAGGCATAGGGTCTCTCTCCTGAGTGGACTCTCTTGTGGATGTTAAGTGCTGATATATGGAAGAATCTTTTTCCACACTCAGCACAGCAATAGGGTCTCTCTCCTGTATGTATTCTCTGGTGGGCAATGAGATGCGATACTTGGTGGAATATCTTCCCACACTCAGAACAGGGATGGTCTCTCTTCTTTCTGTGAGCTTTCCCATGTACTCTGAACTCCTTCTTTCTCCTAAAGCTCTCCCCACACTCACTACAGTGATACAGTTCCTGTCTCCTATGAACCATCCGGTGGTGGCTTATCAGGTCTCTTTGCACCTTGAATTCTTCTCTGCACACACGACAGGTAAACAGGCTCTTTCTGGGCTCAGCTTTAACCTCTGCAGGAGGCTTTATGTATGGTCTGGATCTCCTCTGATGGCCTACTGAGGTTGCTGGCTCATTTCTGATCAGATTTTTCCTCTGCCTTTGTGGCCTGCACTGCCTCTTGTGGTGTCTACCCCGCTCAGATTTCTTGGAATGCTTCTTCCCTGATGTCCCTGGGAAAGGCCTGAGTGGCTCCAGGTTGCCACACCATTCCTCAGGGGTCTGCCCCGCAGCCCTGCTCAGGTTCCTCGCCCCTGCTTGGTGGGGAACAGAATACAGATGTTATTTCTTGTGCTGCTCACAAAGGGATACCACTAATATTCCTAGTAGGGGGTATGCCTGAGAAACCTCCACACCCCTCCCTTCAGAACACGGCTGACCCTTTGCAGTTGAGTGCAAGAGGCCAAACTCCCAGGGGCTCCAGCGCTGTGGGAAGAGGAGAAGGTCAGTGTCCCATAGGCCCTGATAACAGTCCTCCAAGTCAACATGAAAATCAGCCCCCACAATCCTCTCCCTATTCTGAGGCCCGTCTCAGTGGGGAGAACAGCATCACCACACACCAGCACTGAGGACCCCTCTCCCGAGGGACACAAACGGAACACTCACACTGTGATGGGATCCCAACGGCTCCATGTTCTATGGAAAATGGGGGAGGGGGAGAGACTGGGGGAATCTGCGTAAGGGGAGAGATGGGGTTTCTAGGGGGATATCAGGGTGAGGAGCTGTAGCACTTCTCGTGTTTGGGCTTCAATCCCTATTGTAATGCTCTGGGAGGGGAGAGTTTGCAGCTGATGGACGATTCCTGAAATGAGCTCTCTGGCTCCCACTGATGGAAAGGGCAGAGCTGGTTCCCTACCTGTTCTAGGGGAAGAGCTTTGTGTGAGGAAGAAGCCCAAAGAGCTTTCAGTTGCTGACCAGTCCCAGGTCTCCTCTGCATCTGGAAAACCCGCACCGGTCTTTGGTTGACAGCACATAGACCGAATGAATATCACTGAGAGAAACCCTTTCCCCTGCACGGTAAATTACTCATTTATGGTCACTGTTGGACAGCGGGTTCCACAATGCACAAGAGGGGAAGCTATTTGGGGCTCAACATTTACTTTGTACTGTGGTAGCATAACTGAGATCTTGGTTCCATAGCACCAGGTGCTGCACAAAATTGGAGAGAGATCGCCCTGATGTTGAAGAGCTTATATACTAAATACAGAAAGGGTGGGAGAGAACCTGAGTCAAAGGAGTAACTTGCTGTTTTAATAATTGGGCCCACAAATTTACCCTTATTGGCAGTTTAACTGTAAAAACTGTGAGAAAGTTTATAAAGTGTTACAATATCCTATAACAATAAATACTGATGGGAAACGGTGCAAAATATAAACAAGATGATGGAACTAGTCCAAATAATAAAGGCCTATAATGCAAATCAAGGACAGTGTTAAAATGATGGCTGTAAACAAGAGAATTGTGGAACTGGACATTAACGAACCAAAATGACTGAGTTAAAATTTAGGCCTGATAGAAAAACAA